TCTGTTCACAAAAATTGGATGATTAATAACTTCTGCTGCTGTAGGACGAGATTATGGATTGGAACTAAGCATTTTACTAATTAATAATTTCATATCTGGATTGATATGTGACCATTCTGAGCCTTCATAATTAACAATTCCTCTTTATATTGCCGTTTTTAAAGTTTAAACATCTCTAGATTAAAATGGCATATGAGAAGTTAAAAAGAAGTACAATAGACATCCACATGACCAAATATCAGATTTAGCTGATGTAAGACCTGATTATCTTAAGGCTTCTGGTGATTTAAAGGACATCTCTTAAATACTTCCATTAGGTTTCCATTATAAACATTTTTATTTAAAAGAACTGGGGATTCCATAGTCCAATAATTTAACATTCTCCATGTTTTTCTCCTTAAATACTATACTTTCAAGCTGGATATTACTAAAATATTACAACATAACTTACCCATGTGCAATTCCTTAATTATGTAAATATTAAACTCCAGCCATAATCTAACAAAACACATCAATCATATTAAATTGTTGAAGTTGGCTAAAATGATCCAAACGAGATAATAGATTGCCTCCTTCACTAAATTCACTCACTAAATACAATTTGTTGTCATTATAATAGTATGATAATATACGAATCAAGTTTAAATGTTTCTAACATATATCATAAAATTTTACAATTTGTAATAAATGGTTGACTATTCTCTCTAATTCTAATTTTTCAGTTGATCCAAGATTTAAACAATTAAAAATTTTTACAATTCTAGTAGCATTATTGCTCTTAGAAACTGCTTTCTTAATGTAGTTTCTCCGAGCTATTTTAGTTATTAAATTAATAGTATACTTACTAAAGGATCCAAAGCATGGAAAATAAAGTCTGTTTCAATCTTATCAGTTTCTTACATCAAAGAAATATTGGGTATAGACATTTTTTTAAGACCAACAGGAGAGTTTTATTTGCTAAGTTATTTCTCAGATTTTGCAGTAGTACAACCCATCTTCAATCAAGTAATGATATATTTTATTATTTGATAATAATATTCAATAACTTTCTCAAAATATGACAAAAATTAGCGTTATATCACAAAATATTAATGTTATCCTTTTTTTTAGTTATAATTTTATATGTATCCTTAAATAAGCTTCAACTGTATTATTTTAAATATATCAATATTTATAACTGTTTCATTTTTAACTTAAATTATAAATATTTCCTTTATAAATATTGATCCAATTTAAAAATTAAATTATCATCTAGCTTATATTCCTGTAAGAATTAAGTATTAAATTAATGTGTATTAAGTATATTGAAATAACTTTAATTAATTATTTTTATTCAAGAATTCCAATTATGTCTTAATAATATTAAAAAAAACTCCTTAATTAAATTTAGTCAAACTATTTTATTCATTCCCATTTTAAAATTATCATCACTAATCATCTATTTATCTATTATTTGAATTAATCAATTTGCTAAAAGTATTATGAGTTTGATACATTAATCAATTATTATCATTTTTCTATATTGATATTACAATATTTTAAAAGTCGATATAATCAGTTTTATGTGTGTATTTGATTAAGATAGTAAATATGAATCATTAAGTTTAATCTACATATATCATCTCTCATACATAATCAATGATGAAATGAGTATAATTTTAATTGCTAAAATAAGAATATTCAATTTATTATTATATTTTTAGATGAAGGAAGGCTAAAATATTAAAGTAGTTGCTAGATTAAGACCACTTAATGCTCTTGAAATGTAATAAGGAGGTGAATGCTGTGTTACTTATAATGATAAATAGATTACTGTCACAGTATTAGATTTTAAGTCTATCAATTATTTTAGGTTGGCTCCAATGACAAATAAGATTTTGCATTTGATCGTATATTTGGACCTGATTCAGAATAAGCAGATGTATTTGAAGAAGTAGGTAAACCCATTTTAGATAGTGTGATGAATGGTTATAATGGAACTATTTTTGCATATGGCTAAACTTCATCAGGAAAAACATTTACAATGGAAGTACTATAGAGAATGAATTATCTAGGGTCCAGATAATCCAAATGAAAGGACTAAAGGATTAATACCAAGAGTCATGACTGAATTATTTGATGTTGTACATAGTAAATCAGATGATTTAATATATATTGTAAAGGTTTCATTCTTGGAGATTTATAATGAGAAAATTATGGATTTATTAGATACGAATAAAACAAATTTAAAAATAAAAGAAGATAGACTTAGAGGCATTTTTGTATAGAATATTACAGAGATTAAAGTTGAATCTCCAGAAGAAATGAAATAAGTCATGTTAACTGGGTCAAATAATAGAACAATAGCAGCAACTAGAATGAATGAAAGATCATCTAGATCTCATTCTTTATTCTAAATTTAAGTGAGTGAAAAAAATATCAAAACAGATTCCAGTAAATTAAGCAAATTATATTTTGTGGATTTGGCAGGTTCAGAAAAAGTAGCTAAAACTAATGTTTCTGGTTAATAATTAGAAGAAGCCAAAAACATTAATAAATCATTAACTTGTTTAGGTATGGTTATTAATGCTTTAACTTCTGATAAAAAAGAACATATTCCTTATAGAGACTCTAAATTAACAAGAATATTAAGTGAATCACTTGGAGGAAATGCAAAAACTACATTAGTAGTTGCTTGTTCAATGTGTTCATACAATGATAAAGAAACATTAAGTACATTAAGATTTGGAGCAAGAGCAAAAGCTATAAAAAATAAACCTACTATTAATGCAGAGAAAAGTGCTAAAGAATTATAAGCCTTATTAGATATAGCTGAATAAAAAATCATAGAATAGGATGAAATAATTAATAAATTAATGGAAAAAGTAGAGAACAGCACTTATATCACATAAGACAAAGGTAATTCAAATTAAGGATCTTAATAAAATATTGCATAATCCAAATAACATTCATCTCTATAATTATTAAAAGAACACAAATTAGTTGTTAATTTACAAGAAGAATTAGAATTTTAAAAAACAGAAATGGCTGCACTTTAAATAAATTATTAAAGTAGAATTGATGAATTATAAGATAAAATTTTAAAATAAAAGTTTAATGAAGAACATTTAAAATAATAATTATCTGAATGTTTAAAAAATAATTAAAAATTTATATTTGAAAATGAATAATTAAAAACTCAAATATTAGAAAATGAATAAAAATTATTTGATTTTCGTAGAGCACTCTCTTCAACCAAACAAGATTTGGATTTTTTCCTTGCTAATTTAAATCTTAAAAATTAATATAATTATTGTCCTTCAGATTCAGAATCAACAAAAGATATTTTCATGACTGAATAATATGATAAAGAAATTGAAGAAAGAACCTTTTAAAGTATAATTAATTTTTCAGAAACTCTAACAAAATTAGATTCAATACTAATAAAAGATCTTAATTAGGATTAAGTAATTCCATAATTAGTAAATTCTGAAAATAAGAAAAAAAATGTATCATTTTAAATAGATTCTTAACCTCCCTCACCTAAATCTAATAAATTATTAGATATTGATAATTTCTCATTTTAAACAGATGAAGATGATTTAAACATTAAATTTGATGAAAACGAATAAACTTTGATTAAATCTACCTAAGAAAATGAAGAGATCTCAGATGTTGAAAAATTATTAGCCATGTTAGGTGATAAAATGGAAGATCCACATGTACTTTATCAAATATAGGAAGTGATGTCAAAATTAAGGAGGCAACTTTAAATTGAATAAGATAAGGTTTAAGAAATATATTAAATAATGGTTACAGTTAAAGATTAATTTTCTATGTATCAAATAAAAGAAAGAGAAAAAATGTAAAAATTGAAATTATCATATACTTAAAAAAAAAATGAAATGACTTAAATGAAACAGAATCTTGAAAAATAATTAGTAAATTTTTGATATTAAAAATTATAGGGAGATTTAACAATTGAATTTCAGAAATATAAGTATGATTCAGAAAAATAATAATAATTTCTAACTTAAATTAATTAGTAACTAATGTTTACTATTGAGACTCAAAAATCTTAGTATTATATTATTCTTATTTTTTATATTGTAACAATAGGAAAGTTCTGCCTTTAATCCTCTTTCCAGAGAATATCAGCTAGAATGTACTGTCAAATAGTTGATGCATGAAAGGAATGAGATGCACAATTCATTATTATAAACAAGATAATAATTGGAAAATGCTATAAAATAAAAAAATTCCTAGGCTGAAGAAATTATTAAACTATAAAAGAAAATCGATACAATAGAATTGTAATTGTAACATAAGAACCTCTAGGAATAAGATTTCTTTCGACAGTAATTCAAAAGGAGATTCAGTAGAGATTTAAAAAAAACCACCTCAGAGACTTAAGGATGGAGTTTCGACTAAATTATTAAAGATGATCATGCAAGGAACTTTGCAAGATTAGAAACAATTTTAGGATATTCTGGTTTAGAAATAGGCTAAACAGGAGCCTGTGTAGGAAAAGCAAATCTAATAATAGATGAGTTTTAGGTAAAGATTCATAATATATTATAGAAAATATATAACATAAGCAGTTAGTAATAAAGAAATGAATAGGAGTTTGATGATCTCAGTCCAGTCATTGGTACACGCACCATAATTTCAAAAGAAATTGGAGAATGCAAAGGATAAAATATAGAGATATTCTAATAATAACATGAATAGATAAGCATAGCATTAGATGTAATAATTTAAATTGATGTAAGGAATTTCACGAATAACTTGTCAATGACATTGGAACGACCCCCTTTAGAAGAATTATAAGAAAGTTACTCTCCTGACTGAATAATTATAAATTCAACAATATTGTTTTTAAAATTTAGAGTTTGTTCATTAAAATATATAGTTTTAAAAATTTTCATAAAATTATTAAATTATAAAAAATAAAATTAAAAAATATAGATATTATTTTTTTTTTAAAATAGGTTATGATATTTTATTTATTAGATATATCATCAAAAACCTAAAAAATAATCGTTATCAACTCCCCAAATGGGTTATCTAGATTTTTAGCAGCTGTTGTTGTTGCTAATAGATATTTCAGTTGATGCCTTGCTTATTGGTGAATTGCTATAATTTTAATCTTCTAAAATTAAATAAGATATTAACTTATTCTTTTAGTACTATATGCCCTTTTATAAAGTTGACGTAGAATTTTATCGCATTTAGTATTTTCAGAATCTTTTAAAATGTCTTGGATTTTCACAAACGAAGTTAGATCATGAGATTTGTAGCTAATCAACAGATCATGATTGAGGAGATTTTTTCGATACCAGTTATCCATTTCAATACAAGAAAATGGACCTATAATATTTAGATAAGGCTAGACCTTACCTTAAACAGTATTACTATTGTCCAAATAATACCAATATCTGCTTGTCAAAGATTGAAAGTGAGAATATTTAGAAAAAGAAAATGGACTCATGTTAGCTTTGTGAACAGGCCATTCTATTTAAATTTTAGATGATAATTACTTGAAGGAAAAAAAGTTCTGATCTTTCCTTTGGAACCTTTAGATTATACAGACCTTAATTATTAGGCTGATATCTAGGGTGTGTTACTTTAACTTATAGTTGACATAAATATTAAACCATTCTCAAAATCTAAGGTCAGTTGTATTGAAATAATTACTTTAAGGAGATTCATTTGTTAAAGGATTTTGTTATTAAGCAGTAAAAAAAGCAGTGAAATTATCAAGTAAAGTATTTGGAATAGAGCACTTAATGTTTTCATATCCAAGTAGTTCTAAAGTCTCTTTCATAAAATTCATTAATTAATATATGAGATTATATTTTTTTGAATATTTGGTTTTATAACATAATATTGATAGTTTAAATATTATAATAAGATTCTACAGGGAAGAATAAATATTAACTTTTGATCTTCTATTGAATATTATGATATTTATACTAAATTAGAGAATAAAATATTTATAATAGGAAAAATTAAAATATTTTATTTATTTTAAATATGCTTGAAGTTTCATCAACTGAGATTATCTTCGACTTAAAAAATGATGTTTATATACCTTACAACATAAGTTTAAAAAATGTCACATCACTATATATAGCATATAAAGTTTAAGAAAAAACTTATTTAATAGATTAAATCCACTAAACCAGAACTTTTTTCTGTCAAATAAAGTAGAGGATTAATTTCACCACATCAATCTGAAATTATTGAATTCAGCACAACAGATAGAGCAAAAGTACATTATAAATAAGAATATAGGAAGAATTTAGATCCAAAGCATATCGTCAATTAAAAATTCTAAATTTATGCTATTAGTATTTAAGAGAAGAAATCAGTAAAATTAAATATATAATTAGACTGCTGAAATTGATAATCTATTTCAATCTCAAGCATGTTTTAATATTAGATTATGTACAAGTGTATTGAAAGAAGAATTTGGCAAAAAAATTCCAATCTTTGGTAATAATTTGGCTTCTAGTCATACATCAATTCTAGTATGAAATAAATTCAATATATTTAATAGTCAAATAGTAGAACAGAATCATAGCCTATTTTACAATCTATGATTTAATCAAATCCATTAAATAATTAAGTATAGTGTGTTTAAAGACTCAAATAAATTGAATTAGATCTAGTATTATATTATTGATTATAAAATTAGGCAGAAGAAAAAAGAAAGAGAGAATAAATATATAATACAATTGAAATCTCAAAATTAAAAAAAGGTTGTTTTTATAATTAATAAATAGGTTCATCATTATTCAAATTTATTTTACCAATAATTTTAGGAATTGTATTATCAAATTTTTACTAATTGAGTCTTTAATATTATGAATGAGATTGAGATATAAGTTTTTGATAATTATGAAACAATTATTATTAATAATAATATTATTGGTACATATTTGTTTATATAAAACAATATCAAAATATGTATTTTATATATTAATTACATAAAATCTTGCATTAATTCATTTTAATTATTCATATTCCATTTGATCTTTGAGTTTAGCTATTTCACTATGTACTTTTGAAAATTATTAATTTAAAACAATTGCATCATTAAGTACATATAGATAAGGTTTATTTGATAATTAGATATCTGAATTTCCTTATATTAATTATGCACCTTCTTCATAACTCACACATTAATAAGCAACATGAACTCCACATTCTTCACAACACCAACGATATTATTTCTCAACAGCTTAAAATATTACACTATATTACAATTAGATCGCTTTATATATTTGATTCCTTCCTATTTTAGAAATAATCGAATAAATATTTATTTTAAATTGATTGCAATGCTATTATCTGATCTTCTTGTTGGAAGAGTATCTAAACCTATATTTGCTCCTATTGCCTTCTTTCCACAGAGAGAGCAGAAATATATTTTAATATTTTCTGATTTCAATGTAGTTTCATTTAAAGTTCTTAATTTAACTACAGTTTATAAATCAACATCTCTGTTATAGATTGCAGACTTTAAGGTTTTTAAAGATGCTAATGTTACCTAGATTAATTTAAATTAATATAGTATACTGGATTTTTATCTTATGCTTTGTCAAGTTCTTTTAATTATTCTAATATTTTTTCTTCGTCTTACATTAATATAAAATAAATAATACAAATTTAAACAGTTAACCTTAAAATTAAATTTAAAAATAATGTTCAAAAGTGCTACTGCAACAAAGAAACATGATGAATCTGATTATTCAAATGTATAGATTTGATTATAATATGATAGAGAAATGTATCACCTAGTTAAAATCAAGATCGTATTAATGAATTGAACAGAGTGTTGTAAGGACTATCCACTAATGTTAAAGATGACAAAGTATATATAATTTCAATATAATTTAGAGTAGGAGAGATTTATATTTTCAAAAAATAAAAATATTAGAGGAGAGAATTCAAAAAGGAGAGATTAATGATAATTAAAAATTCAGAGTATTTATTTATTTGTAATTTCATAGTTACTTTATGAATAATATGAAAAATTAGAAGAGACTTTATACAGCGAAAGAGATTAAAGATAGGTAAGATATTTATTAATTGTAGTTAATTTGTGAAAAAAGTTTGAAATCATTAACTTTAATTGAAAAAAACTTTTCTTTATCTTTAAATGAAGAATATTCTAGTAGAAAAGTGAATGAATAAGAGATTTTTGCTGAAATAGATGATAAAATATCAGCAATGAAAGGAGAATTAAAAAAAGATAATATTCAAAGAACTGAATATGAAGAAAAACAAATTGAAAATATTGAAAAAGAACTTGAAGAATTAAGATATTATTTTGAATAAGAAAAATAAATAAGAGATTAAAATGCTGAAAAATTAATAAGAGGATTTGGGGAAGAAATATTAAGATTGTAAGAATAATTGAGTGAAGAAAAAAGAATATCAGAAGAATCTTATGAAACTACTATTAGATTATTATAAGACTTAGATTAATCTATTTAAAATGATTTAGAAGTATATTATTATTCTATTAATTTTTTTAGTAAGAGTAATTTTAAAGAGAAAAATAAGAGAAATCTTTATTAAAATTATTGGAATCAACATGCTAAAAGATAGAATAATCTTTATTATCATGATATATAAATTTATTTATACATATTAATTAATTAGAATAAATTAAATGGGAAATTAGATCAATGTAAAGTCAAAATTTGTGAATTTATTGAAATAAGAAGAAGAAAATGCTTTAGCAGAAGAATTGAAGTCAATTTTGCTTCTTGATATCTCTTAAGAAGATTATCTGAATGCTTTTTATCCTTCCGACATTCGGGATATATTAAAATAATCTCCAAAGAGGATATTGGGTATAATTAAATATTTACATAAATTTCTTTGTGATGCATAATCTGAATTGCAATCTCATATTCAATATAGATAATGGAAGAATAGTTTGAGAATATTAACTTCAATTATTCCAGTGTTATATGAAGAAAATTTTAAAGAATAAATGAAAGAGATATTATGGAATACCAAAATTGCTTAACCTAATAAAGAAATCTCAGAAAAAGATCCTCCTTTGATAATTTCATTAATTACAAGACTATTTTAAATGTGTTTCCATTTTGGATTTACCATAGATGTTTTAGAATATAATGTATTTATACTTACTAATCTTAAAAGGAGTCAGTTGTAAAGAATGATACTCAATTATAATTCTTTGCATAATATTTTCATAATATATGGAACTCTTATAAATTTCAAATTGGTTATGTATGGAAAGGTTTTAATCCTTAATGTAAATATCCAAATGATATTGCAAAATATTATGAAAATCGATATTTAGTTTTATCCTGTTTATTTGCTTTGGTTAGTTCTTCTTTATTTTCATCAGAGTTTTTTTTTTAAATTGAAATTGAAGAATTAAATGATGAAGAATAAAAATAAAAGATTGAAAATACTAATTAGTAGAATTAATAAGATGAATAAGAAATAGATGAATAATTTTAAGAAAATAATACTTAAGAATAATAAAATAACAAAAATTAAAAGTAAACATAAAAGTTGTTAGTTTAAACACCAAATGCACCTTTGTTAATATTACAAAAAATATAATACTTCCCAGAATTAATAGTTTCAATGATTGCATTTTCATTATTCTCAACTGAAAGAATTTAATAATTTTTAAGAGGCATAGTTAATATATCTAATTAAATTGAAGAAAATCTTTAAAGTGTATGCTTAAAGTTAACATCACTTATAATAGGGGGATAAGGTAATAAAATTAATATTAATGATAGGTTTTGTCTATAAAGATGTTTTAAATTTAGGAAAAGAATTTGAGGAGATGATCAAAGCCAAAGAGCACTTTTAAATGTTTAATAATCCATTCCCTTAATTTATTAATTTTCCTTAATAAATATTAGAAGGAATAATAGTATAATTAACATAAAAGTTTTATTCTTATTACAAATCTTAATAGTAATTTATTAGAGGAACCTTTGAAAAATAATTATCCAATTTTGAAAGCTGTTTCATTTTTTTAAGTTATCTATCATCCAAGACTGTTCATAATGGTATTTATTATTATTATAATAATATAGTACCAAATATAATGACTGTTTTTTTATTGTCTTACTTTAATCCAAAAATATATATCAAAAATATTTCATTAAAAATAATCAAATTGTTAAGTACTTCACCTTAATTGAATAAATAATTGTGTGTAAATTAAGATTTTACTTTAACTTTTACAGATGCTCCTATTGTTGTTGGTACTTGGGGTGATTTATTGATTACAGCACTTTGTGATACAGTCTTGAAAGAATTAACATCAATTAAAGAAAGCAAACTATTAGAAATATCCCAAATATTATTTAATGTATCTTCAGATATTGAAAAATTGAATAAAGAAAGTTGCTAAATTATTTGTAATTTAATTAAAAAATTGGCAAATTATGATTTTATATTAAAATCACCTAATGTTTTAATAAGTCTATTGAATTTGATAGGAGCAGTATCTTAAATAATTTATTTCTTTCCTGATGAGAATTTAGATCTTATAGATAATGTAATAAAGATTAAGGATAGCATTAAATTTATTCATGAATTTTAAGTTACATAAAAGAAACTTCAAATTTGGTGGAGTAAACATGCTCCTCATAATCCAATTGTTAATTAAAGTTTCATCAAAAGTCAGTAATTTTAAAATGATGTTCATGATATAAGAGAATCATAAGTCAGATCAATCACTCAATAATAATAAGTTATTTAAAAAAGATAATTAAAAGATTTATAACATGATGAGATTTAGAATCTTAAATAAATGGAGTAGATTTAATCTGAAAGAATATTAAAGCCCTCTGTTGAATATGATAATTATATTGAGACATGGAAAAATTTTAATCAGAATATTTTAAAAGGTTTTGTTCCATTAATTAGTTTGGCTAAATTACTTGAAAATTTGTATAAATTAACTATGGATCCAACAGATGAGGTATAATTAAAATCAGTAATTTAATCACATGATTTACGATCTTTGATGATTAAACAACTTAGTTTTAAAATTATGTTTGATAAATATAAGATATTTAAGACTTTGACAAAATAAATTTGGTTGAATTGTTTGAGAAATACTGAAAAATTTCCTTATTTTGAAAAATCTGAATGCCTATGCTTTTAAAAATCATATCAAAAGAAATGATCTATTAAGTTATAAAGTTTATAAATAATTTTGTGAAATAATAATTAGGTTTTAACTTTTATTATAAATTAATATAAAATGAAAAGATAAAAATAATTTGAATTCAACATAAATGAGAAAATCTCTTATCCTTATACACCATTGAGAATGAGTCCTAGTTTTCGTATTAAATTTTAAAGTCCTACAAAAGTTTAAAAGATCAAATTCATTTATTAAAAAGACTTAAAGGAATATGAAAGTCATTATTTTGATTAATTTGTTGACACAAATCGTATCCCAACCATACATACTCAACGAGCGTAATTTTATAATTTTATCATATTAGAGCAAGTTAAAAATAAGCCTAGATGCAATTGAGACAACAAACACCTAACTATATTAATTTGAATCCAAAAGATTCTGAATAAGAGAATGATAAATTATCAGAATTCTTAAGAATTATTAGAGGCAAAAAGCAGGTTAGAATTAATGAACATTAATAATGAAATAAATTTTTGTTTTGTAAATTATATATATAAATCCTATATACTATTGATATGTTAAAAATTTATGAAAACATTAATTAAGTACTGCCATATTGAATAAGGTCTTTTTAATTTTGTGATTGATTAAATTATTTAATTTTTTATAATAATTTAATGATTTAAGCATCTGAACAATATATTGAATAAGTAACAGATTTATAATTGATCAATAAAGAAATATTAAAGGATAACTTTTTAAAAAAGATGAGAAATAGAGAAAACATCAGATAAAATTATATTGAAAAAAGAAAAAGTATAAATCCCTTGAATTATTTTCTTTTAGAAATTAAATTACAATAAGACACAAGACCTAAATTTGAAGATTTAATTTGTCCTATTTGTCTGGAAATCTTTTAAAAAGTTACTACTACTTAATGTGGTCATGCATTTTGTGAAATGTGCATATTTGATAGTTTAATGAGAAAAGCAGTATATAGTTATTTTAATAAGAGGAATGTCCTGTTTGTAGAGTGAAAATTAAAACACACTCATTCTAATATTGTGAAAGTTTTGATAATAGAATCATTGATTTAGTTAATTAATATGGAGATAAAACATAAATTGAACATTTTAGAAATAGATAATAAGAGATGGAATAATGGAATAAATCTAAATTGTATATAGATATTACTAAATTAGAGTAGAAAGTTTGGCTATAAATTAAAAAGTTGATATAATGGATTAATAATTTATATGGTGTGTGGCAACAATATAATAAATTAGTAAAAAGGAATTATTTATTCATTATGACGGATGGGGAAAAGAGTATGATGAGTTCATTCCATTATAATCAAACAGAATTGCTCCTTTAGGACTTTATACTAATAGAGATGATATTCCAAAATATTAACATGAACAAAGATAATTTGCTGATATAATAGAATATATTAATCAACATGGTGAACTCCCAACATAAAATGTGTTGCCTGATTGAATATATAATATATTTTTACCAATAATAAATGATGGGCTTTTTTAAAAAAAGAATTAATAGTTATAAAATACTTCATTAAATAATTTAAAAGTATTAAATATGCAATAATTATATATATATATATATATCATAAATATATAGCCAAAGATTTTGGTTTGTAATAGTGAACAAATTAATTAATATTAATTTAACCTCTTTCATCAATATCTTATAATACTAATTAAGCCTCTTCAATTGTAACCAAATAACCAAATTACTCTAGATATCTATAATTTTTATTTTTTTACATAATAATTTTGTGATTTCAAATGCTTTAATATATCCATCCCTATCTTGATCTATGAATTCAAAGATTTATACTAAATTAATAAGAGATTTATCAATCTTTTATCTATAATACTCTAGAGTGGACATCATTTATAACTTCATTTGAATTAATCTACAAAATATTTCCATTTATTCTTGTGTAGGCTAATCTTATTAATACTTTAGATCTGCTGGATCGGGCATTTCTTCATACTTAATATAAGGGATTATCAATTGTAGAAATTACCCATAAGTTATTGATTAAGAACGTTTCCAATTATTTAAATAATTGAATAATAATTCCAAATCACAAACTTTAATGTCATCTTGATAAGATTGTAATACTTCCAAGAATTTAAACTTTTCAATTTTCTATTAATTAAAATCAATTATTACATAATGATTATCAGATGTAAATACAAAAAACAATTACAATAAATTTGGTTTGAGTAACTTTAATTTTTTATTTATTTGCACAAGTTCTTTTCTAAATTGTATTTCCTCTTAAAATATGTAAGAAATAAACTTAATATCTGAATCTGTTATTTAGTTATATTTTTCTGATATAGGAGGTTATTGTTATTATTATTGTTATTAATTATTATTTCTTTTTTTCCCATATGTTTAATTCATAGTATTAGGATCTTATTTATATTCATTCTATTTGCTATAAGTTTTCTCCATTTTTTGATATTCTTATTGAGATTAAGCTAAATCTTATTACTATTGATTATAGATCTAATTTCTGTAATATTTATCTTCTATTTCATATCTTGAGTCATAAATCAACTTAGGTTATTCCCTTTATGGTAATTCTGATAATGTTGGGTATTGAAGGGGATAATAATGGGATGATGGTCTTGGTAAATACATTACTGTTAATTATATTGAAATGTAAATAATGTATATATGTTTTATGATGAATATTTTTTCAAAATATTATTGCTTATAACAGCATGATCGATAATAATTAAAGATAATTGGCTACTGGGGTATTTGTATTGTTAATTTATTAGGGAGAACAGGACTCACAGGTATTGTTTTCTGGATTCCATCGATATGTATTTAAAGTGTTGAAATTGCATTCAGGACTTTATAGATTTCGAGGATCAACAGATTAACATGAATCATTTGACCATAAACATGTACTTATAGTTTAATTGTTGAAATCTTTAATATAATTGCATTGATTAAGAATTCCTTTAGTTTAGCATGTATGAGGGAGACATGATGAAGTACCATTAGCATAAGTTATCCAATTACAAAATTCACTCATTCTTTAACAAGCAATCATATCTATATTAGCATCTTTACAAGATTTCATCAATGCACAATTACTACCATTCCAAGCACATTGTCCATCTAATCCTTTATAAGTGCAAGCAATTTAATTAGGATAATATTCACATTTGACTTATGGTATACATTTATCTCCATTAGAAATACAAGTAGAATTGTAATTTTAACATGTAAAGTGATTAGTTCCATTTTTGATGTCAGTACATTCGAGAGTTCTGCAACCAGCAGTAGAAAATAAGCATTTTCCATCAGTTCCTAATGCAAGATTGCAGGTAATAATATTAGAATATTAAGAGCAAGGTTACATGGTAACACAATTTGTTCCATCTGAAGTGCATCCTTTAAGTTTAGCTTGACATGACTCATGTGTTTCACCAATTAAATCTTCACATAATTGATCTCTACATTTACCATTAACCCAAGCACAATATCCTGTTTAAATAATTTAATTGTTGACTAATTTTTATGATTAAGAACTAATTTTGCATTACTCTTTTTGTTTATAATTGAAACACTATTCTAAATTAATACATCCATTTAAAGTATCTGTTGTACATTTAGAAGAAGCTTTTTGACATTCATCATGAGTTAGAAAAGGTAAATCAGAACACTTTACAAACATAACACATTTTTATAAAGATTCAATCCATTAACAATTTCCATCTAATCCAACTTTACAAGCCTCTTATAATCTATAATTAGAACATTTTTCTAATCCTACACATCTCAGTCCATCAGTTGTGCATAAACTATTAGCAGATTTACAAACTCTATCTAGATTACTTTAAATGCTTGAACAAGAGAGAAAGAGAGTACAACCAAATTCATACCATACACATGGTCCATCAACACCTTTAATGCATTGATCTTTGATTAGTATTTAAGAACAAAGTCTTGGTAAAATGCATTTAGTTCCATCACTAACACACCCTTTTTTCTAAGCATCACAAATATCATCATAACTACCATCAAAATCCTCACATCTCTAAGCTCTACAGAAACCTTCTTACCAGAAACATTTTTCACCAATATTTGATGTAGTGCATGCTTATTCAACATTAGCTTCTGAACAAGTAGTCTTTACTCTACAACCACCAAATAACTTTGTTGTGCAACCTTCTTTATAAAGATTACATTCTTATTCAGTAGTATATTCAGGGGCTGTATAACAGGTTTTTATAACACATTCTTCATTGAACCATTCACATTCATTAAATTAATCATCCATAACACAACCAGCACTATTCTTTACATCTTCACATTTCTTTCTAATTACACAATTAGTTCCATTAGTTGTACATTTACTATTATAATATTTACATTCAAAATCTGTTGTATATAATAGATCTTCACATTCTTCTAATCTACAATATTACATATTAGAATAACATAAATTGAAGTGTTATTCACATAAAGCAGGAGTAAGTGAATTACTAGGTGCATTTAAACATGTAGTAATCTCACAAATAGGAATAGGCAATTCTTTATTCCAATAGCATAATTAATTTGTTATAGTTTTTACACATTATTTACTTACTTTATAATCAGAACACTCTGATTTTCTAGATTGACAACCAAATCCAGTTTCAACTACTGTACAACCATCCATATAATCTTAACAAGCACTGTCATTACTATATGTTACAGTTGGAGGAGCAGTAGAACAAGATCTATTAGCACACACTGAACCATTCCATCCACATAATAAACCACTTGAATTGATTTTACATTATCTTTCAGATGTATAAGTATTACAATCATTAAGAGGAACACATCCACCTATTCCAGAAGCAATAACAGTACAATTAGGTAAATAGTTTTGACATTCTTCATGAGTGTCTCTAGTGTTATCCAATGCAGCAGTTGTACAAGATTTTATATTACAAGTTCCTGATTACCATTCACAAGTATCACCAGTATTAGATATAACACAAGATAATGATGTTGTGTAAAGATTACATGCAACAAGAGGAATACATCCTCCTGCAGTATTTACTGTGCAAGTATTCAAGAAACTTTAACAATCTTCATGTGTAGTTAGTGTTGATAATGCATTTGTGCAAATAGCATCTGTACATAAAGAAGTTAAAGTATTCCAATAACATTTAACTCCAGATGAACTCTAATAACATTATGATTATTATTTGTAAGAGGAACAAGTTGTTAATTTATCTGTACATCCTCCAAATCTAGCAACAGTACATGTATTCAAAAAATTGATACATTTAGTATGATCATTATAATCAGTAGTTTAAGGAGCATGTTCACATGTTCTATTAACACAAGTAGTATTATCCCAAAAACAAACTACACCAGAACTAGTAATATTACATTAAGCCTAGATAGTATAGGATGTACATGAAGATGATAGTGTTTAACAAGCATTTTAAGCACTATTAACAGTACAAGTATTTAACCAATC